AGAGAGAGAGAGAGAGAGAAAGAGAGTCAGCTGATCGTCCAAGAGAACTTTCGAAAGTGACACTGGTTAGGTTCACCCTCTGGAAAAAAAAGGGTTGAGAAGGGTGAGAAGACTATTCAATGACGTCGAGTCTGCGCCTAGACGTCTCGTTATTATTATTCTGACGAGATATCACCATACACACCATACTTACAGGGTGGTCCGAAATTTTATAATACAAATGGGGGTGGGAGTAGGAAGAGGGAGGGGTGGGGAGGGGGAGCAGTCACCGAAATCATATATTTAAATAAAATAAATAATCTAAAGAATATATAAGAGTATAAATCTTGTTAAATGATTATTACGGTTTTCAAATAAATTATATCAATGAAAAAGTATCCAACCCCATGACATTAATTAACGAATAACATTGTTTCTTTATAAGAATATTTCTATATCTATTTTTAAATAGGATATACTGGAATGTCAAGTTATGTTTATGCTATTATAATATTAACTATCTCATGTTTCTTATTATAATAGAATAAACCTATAGATACTATGAATACAATGATTATGATTTTGAAATGATGATTTTCTCTCTCTTTCTCTCACACAAGTTTATTAGGTTTCATTTTGACTATTTGTATATTCATTGCATCGTTAGCCTTGTTGCGTGCCTTATTTGCCAATTCTATTAGCGGTAAAGCATTGGTAATAATTAATTATATTCTGTTGAAAAATAATAAATGTAGTCGAGGTTCCACGTAGTAAAATCAATAATTATTTAAGTAGGCGATATAATATTATACTGAATAATTTTTATAAATAACATGTTTTTATCTTTTAAAAAACGTGGGTGTACCATCATCCCACGCAATTTTTCATTTGTCCTCGATTTTTATTTAATTATTTTCAACGATAATAGTTGATATCGTAAATTACGGATCACCCTGTACATTGAAAGGGTAGTCGCGTTATTTGATTTTTCAAAAGAATTTTAATGAATAACATCATCATCCCCCTTCGATTCAGTTGGAAATAAATGAAAAGAAATCGTTTTTAAAAATTTGGAATATAATCTTAAAATTCAACTTATTCAATTCCTATTGGATTGTTTTAAATTTCATTAAACTTGTCGAAAGTGTGTGATTAAACAATTCTTTTGAATAATAAAAAGAAATAAAAAAAAAAAAAGAAAAAAAATTATTAATTATTTTCACGTAATAATGATGATCTCATCGTAATACAAAAACTTAAACTTTCGATAAATATTAATATTTATAAATTTACTATATATTTTAAATAAATGAAATTTATTTTAACGTTTAATAATAAAAAGAAAAGAAAAAAAGCAGTTTTGTCGCGAGAGATACTTTGAACTTTTTTTTTTTCTTCTTTCTTTTTTGATAATCTCGATCCTAAAAGTTAATTACTGTATAAAAAATAAAAATAAAGAATCTATAAATTATCATCACGATCTCGAGAAAAAAAGGAGGAGGAGGAGGAAGAGGTCATCGATAACGATGAATATTATATATTATTCAGAATATAAAAATATAATGATTATTTATTATTTTATTGTACATATTTTTCTTTTCAACAAAAAAACTGACATATAATAAAACTTTTAAATAGATATAATAAATTATAAACTACAAAAATGTTCAAACTTGCTGCGATAAGGTGGAGTTATATAACATTTCTATAAATAAAAGTCATTTCTAT